GTCTAAACCTGTTTAATGGTTTCATTGGTACCGAAAGTGACATAAGTTCAAGGGTAAAATGGCACTGGAAGTGACATTAGTTCAAGGGTACCGTGGCACCGGTGAAACCCTCATTACTGCTTTGCAGTTCTAGTTGTGATTGTTTTTAGTATTTAGTGTACATACATATAAATACATACAATTGGTTTTTGTTATTAGATTATCATAGCTAAATATATGTTCTGTTTTATTATATAAACCCTTTTCTTTTTCGGGAATGTTGATTTTGAATCAGTACCAAAATTTAACACCTGTACCCAATAATCAACTAAATTGCACAGAAGCCCCCAATCAAGTAATTACGCTGTCTGAAAATGGGCGACAGCTTGTCTATAGAGATTGACAGTGACTTTTTTGGGCGCCAGTCTAATGTACAGTCTCGCGAGATTATCGGACTGCCATTGTAAACTTGACTTATGACCACGTGTACAGATGGAAGACAAGTTAATTCATTTGTGATTTAAAAAAGATACATTACCTAGGACGTGATTTACCGATTTCCAATTGTAGAATTACATGGGACGTGATTTACCGATTTCTTATTTATTTGTCAATGGTGGAATACTAAGTTTATAGGATAATGGATAATATATAATACCATGACCACAGTAAGGTGATTATCTATGGGTGTGCATTTTTTATATTTCCCTTTTTTATTTGTACTTCATATGTAAATAATCGTAATCAAAATTAACCGATCGGGTAAACGGCTCGCGGGAAATTAAAAGGTTCATCTAATTTTTCAACGCCGTACATAAATTAATCGTGTGTTGATTTTTCAACGTACAGTAGAATCTGTATGAGCGTTCACTCCTATTCAGCGACATCTCCTTGTAAGCGGTCACGATAAATTCCCCCCGTAAAAATTCTATTGTTTCATCTCTTTATTCAATGGTCACTCCTCTAACGCGGCCAGCGGTCACTATTTTATTAATAAATTTAACAAAACATCGGCCATTGTTGAATGATAACATCTTGTCGTTCTTCGAAACACCACCGCTAATTCCGTGAGTAGTAGTTAATTAACTGGACCCCCACTGATCAGGTAAAAAGAAATGTTAAAATAACAAACCCGGAATTATCTGTTAGTTAATCTTTTGTTTTATTAAACGACTAACCTGATCATTGTTTTCATGCGTAACGACACATTATTTGATACTGATTGAATAGAATAAAAGTACCGAGTTTTGTCACGATCATTTAGTATCTCTTTTCCATTGCCACTTTATTGTTAAACAGATGTTTTAGTGCCTCCTATAATATTACATACAGAGTTACACCCCCTGTAAATCGGTGACAAAATCAGCGATGTTTTTTTGTCCATGTGCTTTTTTTGATAAAATAAAATTAATTCATCGATTTTCTTCACAAAAATGGATAAATATTATCGAATGCATCACAATGCTAGACAGTAGTATCGAAGGTTGGTACAAAATGACAAATTTACAGAAGTTATGTCTGAGACTTGAGTAAAGAATTTTCATTCGGCGCAAGATTCAGCGACGGTCAAATTTACCGATGCAAGTATTGATGTTTGCTCCAATGCACCCAAGCGTAATATTTAATTGATGTCAGCACAAAAGCACCTAGATTTTATTAAGAGGCCACTCCCGTTAAGCGGTCAGTCGTGAAAATTCCCTTGGGTGGCTGTTTAATACATATTCTACTGTATCTCGGGAAATTAAACGGCTCGTCTAATAAGTAAAAGCCGTAGATAAGTAAACGGTGTGTTGATTTTTCAACGTATCTCGGGAAAGCAGACTCGTCTAATAAGTAAACGTCGTAGATAAGTGAACGGGTCGGCCATTTTTAAACGACTCTCGGAGAAACTAAACCCGTTACCATTAAACTAAGCCATAGTACTAACTAACCCATTTATATAATTCTTAAACGATTTTTATCAATTATCGAACGATGTTTTGAAAGTAAACTCTATGCATACTTTCCAGCGCTAAAAACCCCGTTCTAAACGATACCAAATCCCTAGTGCAAACCACCCAGTTCCACTCCAAAACCTTCGTCTCCCTTTGTCAACATTAGAACCACTAAGAAGCGTACCAGTTTTCCTATCAGTACACCTAGAAGAACTATTTCATACAGAACCAGACATGAAATTCTAAGTGACTCCATGACCACTGACGATAAGACGATAATTTATTCTCAAGAAGACGACAGAGATGAAAATGAGATGACGCACCCATAGGGGTTTAGTTTTAACAAGCACAATTTCACTGTAAATACCAACACTGAAGAAATTACAGCAATGTTGATAGTTTGTTAAATAAAAGAAAAGAATTGGAGCTACTTATAGGGAATCATAACCCTTCCATTATTGTACTATGCGAATTCCTGCCGAAGAACAATCCAAAAGACTTAAGTGAGTGTGAGTTCGCTATAAAAAACTATGATATATGTTTTATAATAAACTAGATTAAGGTAAAGGAGTTATTATCTACATGCATACAAACCTGCATGCTGAAGTAGAAAACACTAATACAGGAAGCTATGGTGTAAATTATCGATAAAACAGGGAATGGAAATGTTAGTAGGTTGTATCTATCGTAGTCCATCTAGTAGTTTTGACAACTCATCAAATCTTAACCATGTTTTGAGAGAAATCACTTTGAGATACCCCCAAGTTTTGATAGTTGGCGATTTCAATTATATGGACATAGATTGGAAAAAAGAATCTACCAACATACAGCCAGGTTCACCATGTTACAAGTTTTTAGAAAGTGTCAAAGATTGCTATCTTATCCAACATGTGACAGACTACACTCGCTACCGTCATCATGAAACTCCATCTACATTAGATCTTGTGTTCACAAAAAATGAAGAAGATATTAATGATATATTATTTATGGAACCTTTAGGGAAAAGCAATCATGTCCGCTTAAAGATTTCGTTGAACCTTAATATATCCAAGAATTTGACCACAGAAACAATCAAGTATAGATACTACAGAGGTAATTATGAAGATATGAAACAGGAAATTACTAGGAAGTTGGATGATTTGAAAGAACCAGATACAATACATACTTGGGAATTGATCTTAGATATGTTAAATATCAGTATTAAACGCCATATTCCAGTCTATAAACCAAGGCAGAAATCCAGAAAATTATGGTACACAGCTACTGGGATGAAAGCATTTAAGAAGAAAAGAAAAGTGGCAACTACGAAGAATATAGAATAGCCAGAAACCATGCAACTAGTCTTCAAAAAACAGCCCATAAAGAATTCGAAAAGAGTGTTGCTGCAGACGTGAAAGATAACTCAAAAAGCTTCTGGAATATGTCAGATTAAAGACTAAAAAAAGAGTGGGAATTAGCAACATAAAGAATGAAGATGGAACAATACTTTACAGTAACTTGGAGAAGGCTGTAGAACTGAACGATTTCTTTTCTGGGTTTTATTTCCAAAGGAAATACTATGAATTTACCGATTGTACAAATCACATCATCACCCATCCTAGATGACATAGAAATATCACCAGATGTAGTTCATAGTAAATTAGAAAAAACTTAATACAACCAAATCCCCAGGACTAGATAATTTGCATCTGAAAGTCCTAAAGGAACTGGCCGATGTCTTGAAACTACCAATATCCAAGTTATACAGGAAATCGGTTGATGAAGGAGTTTTACCAGACCACTGGAAAGCAGCAAACATCACACCATTATACAAGAAAGGTAACAAGAAGAAAGCCTGCACCTATCAACCAATAAACCTCACAAGTATCATTGTCAAAATATTAGAATCAATATTGAGATAATATATGCCATCACGAATCACTTAGATTCCTATAACATTTTATGTAGAGAACAGTATGGGTTCAGAGCGGGTAGAACAACAACCTTATAACTCCTTGAGGTACTGGACTACATCACAGAAGCAGTCGACCTTAATAATCCTATTGACATCATCTATTTTGATTTCCAAAAGGATTTTGACAAAGTCCCACATAAGCGTCTTCTAATTAACCTAGAATCAATCGGAATTGGCAGCAAAATCCTTAGATGGATAGAATCCTTTCTTAGCCAAGGAAGCGCACTAGGAACGGTCCTGTTTCTGATTTACATTAACAATATACCGGAAGCTGTTGAATTCGTGGTTAAACTATTTGCCGACGACACAAAGTTATACGGTCATAGCGGATCCTTACAAGAATCTAACACCATTCAAAGAGATGTCAACCAACTTGTCTAGTGGGCTAATACATGGCAACTCCATTTCAACCTTGAAAAATGTAGGTCATTGCATTTTGGCCACAATAACATAAAGGGAAACATAAGATGGAAGTAAACAACCAATCTATAGAAATCAGTCAAGTTAATACCGAGAAAGATCAAGGAGTAATTTTTCAAAATAACTTTAACCGCCTTTTGGGATTGATTTGACGGACTAAAAAAACCTTGATTACCAACAACGCTTGTTAAGTCTCAGTTTGCCCTCGTTGGAGTACAGAAGGAAACGTTACGATGTCATCCAAGTCTACAGGATTCTTCAAGGAAAATATATTGTTGTTAATGAAGAAATGCTAAAAGTAACTACAGAGAAGTGAACAAGAGGGCACAACTTTAAACTAGAAAAGCATCATTCTAGATAAGACGTACGGAAAAACAATTTCTCAATCAGAGTCATAAACAATTGGAAAGCATTACCATACTACAGTACATTGTCAATGCTGTAACCTGAATCAATTTTGGAAAAATGAAGAAATAAAGTTTAACCCAAATACTTTGAGAAAAAATTTATTTATGACAAGATCCAGCTCAAAACATGTGCAAACCTATCAATGCTAGAAGTAATCAAGGTGGTCAACAAGCCATAGAGGCTTAATGGTAGACCGAAGAAAAGGTATAAAGGTATAAAAGGTATATCATAAATTTAACTCAATTCAAAAGGCTGTGCTCTTTTGTATGAAGATGTTAATCTAAAGATAAATGTATATTTTGCAGATACAACGAACATCTATTATATCCATAACCCTTAAAAGTAAGTAAACTTATGTTTTAAGTGCAATTATTTATGTACTACAATTGGTGTACTGGTAATTCTATGAACTCTAATGTCATCTAAGACAATAACTTTATTTATGTTCTAATTGAAATAAATTAATAATTTAAATGTACTGATTTTTTGTTGATGGATGTGTTTTTGATTTTCATCAGATAAAAATTCGATAAATTTTACTCATGTTTATTTTAGGCAATATTGTTTGTGAAAGTAGGAATCCTGCTGAAGATAAATTATTACTTGGTTGTGTTGATGCATCATTGGTAAATTATATTACTGTATTTTGGCTTACGTAGTTTGTGTTTTGTCCCCCACCTTTTGAAGATCAAATGGGATTTTTAAAAAGGGTTCATCCGTCTATCTGTCCTACTGTCTGGCCATCTGCCTGTCTGTTAATCTGTCCTTCAAAAAGAACTGGTACAGTTACTACATAAGAGACAAGATTATAGATGTAACTGAAGTTCTATAATATAGATGTACTGTCTCTCACAACAGGGCCCAATTAGAGCAAAACAGTAGGACGTTAAACCCCATTTCATTTCATTTCATTTATTCTCTCAACAGGTGATGCATGATGATCAGAAAAAAATAACACAAATAACTCGATGTGCCTTGGTAAATATATTTATGAATATAAAATTTGAGCTGGTTTTGAAGATCTTGAAATTGTCTTTTGGCTTGTAACCTTTAAATTCACTTATATTGTTTCACCTCTAAAGAACATGATCTTTTCCCCATTACTTTATTTGTAGTGAGAATATAAAAGGGGTTAACTGAAACATAAAAGGTTAATCCATTATACATTTAGTCCACTAAAGTCAGTGGGGGTGGATTGCCGATTGGTTTAGTGTATGCTCTTCAGATGCATACTATGCTTTAACCAATTCTTTAATTAATTAGGAATTTACTGTTAATTAATTCCAAATTTCTTTGATTATAAATATTGCTGCTATATATTATCTAGAAGCATATAAGTATTCGCCCACATTTTCATGTGGACGTATATTGCCGTCGCCCTGTCCGTCCGTACACAATTGTTTGTGAACACTCTATACAGGTCACAATTTTTATCCGATTTCAATGGAAGTTGAAATATAGGTTTATCACCCTAAGATCTCAGTTCCTTTCGATATTGGCATGTATCGGACTGTAACTTTATGGATTATAGCTCCTGATTGTACGAAAAATCACATTTTTAGCTTGTGAACACTGTTTAAACTTGAAATGTATGTTTATAACCAACAGATCTCGGTTCCTGTCAATATTCACGCATATTGGACCATAACTTCCTAAATTATGGCTCCTGATTGTACGAAAAATTGCGTTTTTAGCTTGTGGACCCCATAGAGGTACATATCGAATTGTAACTTCCTGAATTATGGCCCCTGATTGTACGAAAAATCACGTTTTTAGTTTGTGGCCCTTCTAGAGGTCACAATTATTATCCAATTTAAAAAAAAACCTTCGAATATATCACCGTTACACTGTAATTTTGTCTGAGTTTGAATTTCATGAAAATTGGACCAAATCTGTCGGACAAAATGGCCGCCCCTCGTACGCAAATAGTGTAAACATCTGGTATATCAAAGTTGTGGAACCTCTAGAGGCCACAATTTTGATCCGACTTTGATGAAACCTGAAATGCAAGTTTATAACCCATAGATCTCGGTTCCTGTCAATATTCGTACATATCAAATCGTAACTTCCTGAATTATGGCCTCTGATTGTACGAAAAATCAGCTTGTGGAGCCTCTAGAGTTCACAATTATTAATCGATTTAAAAAAACATTTGAATATATCACCGTTACAGCGTAATGTTTGTTTTTAGCTTGTTCTCTATCCATCTCTTGCAAAATGTGGGCGTATCCTGCCTGGCAGCCGCTGGTTTCTTACAGTGTGTAGTTTGGATATTTTAATCTAATGTATTGTGATGATTTATTTTATACTTTGTAGAAACCAGCATGTATGGCATGGCATCCAACTGGTACTATAGTATTTGTTGCTAGTGGACGTGGTGATATTCAGGTTAGTCAACTAAATATGCTTTTTATATGCCCACATTTTCATTGTTGTCGCCCCTGTCCGTCCACAATTGTTTGTGGACACTCTACAGGTCACAATTTTTATCCAATTTCAACAAAACTTGAAATATAAGTTTATCTCCCTAAGATCTCGGTTCCTCTCAATATTGGCATGTATCGGACCATAACATCATGGATTATGGCCCCTGATTGTACGAAAAATCACGTTAATATCTGATTGACTTTAAATTTATACACAGTGTTTAAGGTCATGAGACGAAAAAGCTTATTGTTTTTCAGCGATTCCCAATAATTACTGCCAGAGTTACACCTGAAAAACCTTGTGGACGCTCTAGAGGCTAAAGTTAATATACGATTGACTTTAGATTTATACACAGTGTTTAATGTCATGAGACAAAGAAACCTATTGATTTTCAACGATATCCGATAATTACTGCCAGTGTTATGGCCCTTTGATCAATTTGAAATCTCCTGTGGACCGCTCTAGAGGTTAAAGTTAATATCCGATTGACTTTAGATTTATACACAGTGTTTAACACTGTAACATTGGTACTGTTTAATCTGGGGTAAATGGGGTAAATTTCTACTCTGTGTCCAATTATTCATAAATATTGTTGAATTTCGGCGAATAGTACTCAATTTGTACTTCTATCGAATTTCAATCTCACTGTTTAATTTTGATTACCAAGCGTCTAATTAACTAGTGTTTAGTTTCTCGACACTTGTTAAATTATAAGCGTCCCGTCTAATTAGCACGACTGTTCAATAATTAGTTGGACCGTTCAATTTCCCAAGCCATGATTAAAATCAGTCAAGGTGTCCAATTACGCAAGGTGTTCAATTTTATTGTCAAACATCTAATTTCACGTGCGATGCTCAGATATTACGATGTGTTTAGTTGTGGGTCATCGTTCGGTTTTGCCGTCGAATGTCTATTTTGCCGCACGATGTTGAAATACTGTAATAAGTGTTAGTTTTAGTACTGACCTGTTGCGATACGGTAAAATATTATTTTTCAGGATTCATACGACGGCAGGTATCAGTACAAATGTCGCGAAGGTTTGACGAAACACGATTATCGTGCCGGTTTTTGTTGAAAATTGCCACGATATATAACGTGGTGTAGCAGTTGCTATCGTGTGACACAATGGGCCTCGGTGTAATTTTACATGCAAAATTAACAGTATTTATTTGTCATACTGCCACGATGTTATGAATGTTGAATATTTTCGTTAATAATACGGACGCGTTAGTCCACGTTGTATAGTGAAAACACTGGTGTTCACATATTCTGCACGATATATATGCGGTTATATTTCCAACCAGTCATGTAAAGCTGCATGTCTAGAACATTTTAAAGGACACGTATGCATAAGACTATACATGTATTACGCTGTGTTCAAATTGTATTGCATATTTACTGTATTAAGAGTGTATATAGTTAAGAATTACGGCAAAGATAGACTTTTAAATTGCAAACTATAAAGATATTTTGGTTATCGGTCTTATAAACAGAAATCAGACATAAATAGAACTTGCAACGGGATTCGAAAGCGCTTTCAAGTCAGACGTAAGCTTGTACTTACGCAACACAAGTCTCCGATGTAAGAGAATATTGGTTAATTATAACCGCTATCAAATCCACACAAAAATCCAAGGCACTCATTTTATTTTAGAAAAGAATAACTGTATTTCGACCGAAGAATCTATTCCACATGAACCCCAAATCAATGATGAACTGTCAACTTGTTATGTAGTAATTCATGTGCAGATTGGTTTGAATAACAGATATGTCCCGTATATAAAAGATCAAAGAATAAAATTGCACGTAGCCACTTTGTTTATCTAAAAGGGGCTCCAGCACACTTTAAGGATTTATTTTGGACCCAATATTAACCATCGCCAATTTTTTTAAATCATGGGATAAAGTCAATCAACAAACAATACGGGTCTACTTTATTACAAAAAAAATTGGTGAACTTATCATTTTTTCTAAAATCATAATGCTAATCAACAAACAATACTATTGTTCTTTATTACAAAAACATCGGTCGTAATGGCGAGCCAAGCTAGTTGATTATTAGGTAAATAAAACAATATAAACAACCAAGGAGTAAAACTGATTTATTCCAATCAATTTATATACGTGTCAAGAGTATTACCTTAACCGTGTACGAGTTTGCTTCTGAACGGGTTAACTGACACTCAATCAACTTGTAAATTCCAAATAGAAACTGCTTGCCGTTTTCATGCCATAGACACTAATATCCTAATTAAAAAAACCGTTCCGTTTCCAATAATTATCACAGACACAAATATTAATTTTGATTGTTTTATCCATCAACACACAGAGTAAACACATCTAACAACCAGAGGCATTTTTATGAGAAAACAAATCGGTTTCGATTACCTATCTCGTTTTGTACAAAGACATAGGTCTCGAGTTGGTATTCGAATCGGTTCTCGTGAACGCGATGAGTTGCCTCGCAAGATGGCTGAAGACTGAAGAATTGAGGAAAAATGTTAAAAAAATTCACTTTTCTTTATTATGTACTTGGCGACACCGTCCAAAAATAAAAACGAAAAGTTATACCAGTTGACTGTCCCCAAATGCCCCGTATTTTTATTAGGAATGTCCATAATATTCATATTTTAACATGAAATTCAAAAGAAAATGATCTAATGTTGGCCACGTCGTGTCCCTTGTTGGGGACGCCATCTTGGAAATCGAATCGTCAATCCGGCAGGCGAGCAAGTTGGAAGATTTGCATAATCGATTTGGCAAATCGTTGTGGTAAATACGACAATTAGGTGAAACCGATTAGGCTAATTTTTGCCGTAAATGTGTTTGGAAAGGAAATGCAAATCGATTAGCCCTAATCGGTTTCTTGTAAAAACGCCTCTTATCTTATGAATTCGAGCCTCTTCAATAGTTATAAAGCACATCAAAAAGTGTAGAATAAATTGCCTAACAGAAAAATCATGCTTTATAAGTTCTTAAAGGGGCGTGGGGCTATTTAAGGAATGACATTTGTGCACAATACAAAGAAATAATCACCACCGGTGTAAGGAGTATTTTTGACAGAATATGTCAACTGCAAATATGACTAAACATCAGTTTGTTCAGAAGATGCTCTGCATGCGCGAACTTTCAAGTCTGTACCGATTTAAAAAAATAGATAATCCCACATATCCACATTCCTAAAAAACAGGAGTTTTACCGTAACAAAGTAATCACAATTACTTGTTACAAATTGGTATTACATGTAATGGGTGGAGTGGGGGTCCGGCCAAATCGCGACGAATAACTTCTTAGTTAGTCATATTGTAAGTGTAACTGTATTTTCTTTATTTTGACATTCTGCTAATTGAGAAACCATTTGAGTAATAAATACAGGTTATTGAATGGACTGAAGCTACATGTAAAATCACAAATACATCGACATCTCTTTTCAAAATTTGTAATTATTACTACTGACAATTAACAATAAAAGTCATGTTGTTAAAGGGGCGTCGTCAATCGGTTTCTTTTGATGTTACGTGTCAATTCTCATTATGGAACTTTGATTGACAGTATGCATCCACCAGACTCTTTGGTGCCGAAATGAAAAAGTCAGCAAGGTATTATCGGACTAATACGTGTCCATGGTATTCAGCAATCGTTCAATCAAAAATGAACCAAGAATGTTTTACAATCAACAATGCTGATTGTTAGCCATTTTCTAACATTTCTTCCAAGTTGAAACTATATGCTTCACGATTTTTCGTCAAAGCTTAAATTATTGTCACAGGTAAATGCCAAAATTACTAACAAAGACATTAATTCCAAAGAGCTATTTCTGCCTAGAAAGTATGGCCGCACGAACTCAGTAAAATTTTATGATTGCCGTCGCAATTCAGTCTGAAGAACAGTTCCGTTCGACTTTTTAATTCCACCTTACTTGTTGTTCTGTAACCCCTAATCTAAAATGCTCTTTTGATCTCATCTAATATAGTACATGCCACAAAAACATCGAATTAACTTATTTATGATATCCCCATTCTTTATTAAAAATTAAACTTAAATATATGATACAATTCCTTTTTAAATTGGCTTTCTCTGAAATAAAGTTTGGCAAAGTTATGCGTTACATATAAGCATGGAATGTATTTAGTAGGTTTTATTTGATCTTCGATCAGCGAAAAAGGGTCGTCGTTCTATAATAATAAAAAGAAATAAAAAGTTTGAATTAGTAGTTTATTTTCACGTTTTGTCTTACACAACAGACATATTGTTAGCTTCTGACACATGTGTATTAATTCTACAAGCCTTTTGTGTTTATTGCCACAGATAATTGCACTACCCTTCAACCCAAAATCCCATACTATGTAATATATGATTGGTGCAATACCCATGCTGTTATTCTTAATTGCGAAGACATTTAAACAAAAGGATTTAATCAGGGTAGGGAGTCGACATGTACACACGTAAATCAGATGCATGAGATTTATCATTCGTGGATGTCTGGTCAGTGTGGGAAATACTGTTTTAAATGGATATATAAATACACATTTTATGATTGTGGACGAAACGGTAAGCTTTGCTTCGGAACCGTCCCGTCGCCATTAAAAATCCAACATCTGTTTCACCGTAGTGATCTTGAAAAATAATCGCCGGATAATGACAGGCATTACAGATACCTGTCGTCGTATGAATCCTGAAAAATAATATTTCACCGTATCGCACCGTACTAAAACTAACACTTATTACAGTATTTCAACATTGTGCGGAAAAATAGACATTCAGCGGCAAAACTGAACGATGACCAACAACTAAACAAATCGTAATATCTGAACATCGCACGTGAAATTAGATGTTTGACAATAAAATTGAACACTTGCGTAATTGGAGACATTGACTGATTTTAATCACGGCTCGGGAAATTGAATGGTCCAACTAATTATTGAACAGTCGTGCTAATTAGATGGGATGCTTATAATTCAACACGTGTCTAGAAACTAAACACTAGTTAATTAGACGCTTGGTAATCAAAATTAAACAGTGAGATTGAAATTCGATAGAAGTATAAATTGAGCACTATTCGCCGAAATTCAACAATATTTATGAATAATTGGACACAGAGTAGAAATTAACGCTATTTACGCCAGATTAAATGGTACCAATGTTACAGTGTAAGGTCATAGACAAAGATGCCTATTGATTTTCAACGATTTCCGATAATTACTGCCAGAGTTATGGCCCTTGATCACTTTGAAATATGTTGTGCATGCTCTAGAGACTAAAATAAATATCTAATTGACTTTTAATTTATACATGGTATTTACGGTCGTGAGACGAAAAAGCCAAGTGATTTTCAATGATTTCCGATAATTACTACCAGAGTTATGGCCCTAGATCACTTTGAAAAATCTTGTGGACGCTCTGGAGGCTAAAGTTAACATCCGATTGACTTCAGATTTATACACAATGTTTAAGGCCATGAGACGGAAAAGCCCAGTGATTTTCAATGATTTCCGATATTTACTACCAGAGTTATGGCCCTTGATCAATTTGAAATATCTTGTGGACGCTGCAGAGGCTAAAGTTAATATACGATTGACTTTAAATATATATTAACAGAACACAGTTTTTATGGGATACAATCACTAGTTTTATTCTAAAAGCACAACGTTTCGACAAGTATCCTCTTATCGTTATCAAGCACAATGACATTTAGTAAACTTGAGGTCAATACAAAATTCATAGTGAAACCATCAACATTGATTAAAATAACTGTAACAAAAAGAATCTAAGAGGTAAAGGATATTTAACAAAAACAACAAGCACAACAAGGTAATTTAGCTTTCTGAAAAAACTCTAATACATCCCCAGGGCATAATATAATTTAGCTATGGTTATTCAGCACCCATGGTTGTATTAAAATCTCCCCTTTTTGATTGTTAAGTTTTTGCTATTATAGATTCTCCCAAACCTGTCCATTATTTGTGTATTGTTATATTTGTATTTATAAATACATATCATATAAAATTTCATGCATATGGCCTCACTATCTGTGCCTCATCAGCTTTACCCTTGTTTATTCATGACACCCTTTGAAGGGCCTCATACTAGTTAATAACCCTCTACTCATGTATTAGAGTTTATTTAGTAAGCTAATTTCCTTGTTGAGCTTGTTGTTTTTGTTAAATATCCTTTACCTCTTAGATCCACGGGGGGGTTGGATGGCTGAATGGTTAGCGTCCGCGCGCTGTATCATAAAGTCTGTCATTGAGTCGACTGGCGTGGTTTTGAATCCCCGGTTGTACGTGGCAAGGAGTAGGGTCGCCTGTCCAACCTCGTGGGTTTTCTCCGAGGCCTCCGGTTTCCTCCCACTGCTAAAGACCCCTACGCGCAAGCGAATTATGTAAATAAAATTAAACCATATGTTATTCCCGAAATGACCTAGTTTGTGTCGAGTGGACGTTAAACCCCATTTCTTTCTCTCTCTCTCTCTTAGATCCACCTTGGTGGAAGTGGACGTAAAATACAACTAACTCACACACACACACACTAAATGTCATTGTGCTTGAGACCAAAGTTATCATTTGATTGACTTTAGGTTGATAAACAGAGTTTAAGGTCTTGAGACGAACAAGTATATAGATTTTCAATGAATTTTGATAACTTGAACAGCTAAATTCATGATATTAAATGATTCGTATACTAAACATTATCATGGGGAAGAACTAAAAGCCAAACATAATTTTCTGATAATTACTTAATGAGTTGTTACTCTTAATCAGATTTTAGTGTATTATAAATGTTTCATTACCGACAATAGAAAAAATATGCGACAACTCTTGTTGACTGCTCAGAAGACTAAGCTGCTGTGGGCGTATGTTTCATTGCCTGGCAGCCTACCTTTACCTAGTTTTGTTGAAATTTGAAATGTAAGTTTATAAACCAAAGATCTTGGTTCCTTTCGATATTCGCGCATATCAGACCGTAACTCCCTAAATTATGGCCCCTGATTGTACGAAAAATCACGTTTTTTAGCTTGTGGACCCTATGGAGGTCACAATTTTTATCCGATTTAAAAAAACATTTTAGTATATCACCGTTACACCCTAATGATGGTCGAGTTAAAAATCGGACCAAAACTGCCGGACAAAATGGACGCCCCTTGTACGCAAATAGTGTAAAATACGGTACATCGCTCAAAATGTTAGCCTGTCTACTTGTCGCCGACAGGTGATTTTTGCGCCTGACAGGTAGGGTTTACATTTCACTCTCTTGTAGGATACAGTTACTCACACAGTTTGGAAGTAGCCAAATTTATAATGATTAACAATGAATTTCACACCATCTACGCTGGTTTTCATCTGCTTGACACTAGTTTATAGCATTATGAAGTATTATATCTAAATAAATTAAAACGCATCTGAAATAATTCTACCGTATCCACACCCCAGTAAATACAGTGGTGGCTAGAATGGAAATGCACACGGCTCGTTGCCTGATGAATTTAATCATTTAAAAGTTTAAAACAATTTCCATAAAGGATATGAATAATTTATAAGAAAATAATTAGGTCGGAAAAATATTTTATATATAAATATAATTTGTAGCGTAAGCATAGACATGATATGTGAGAAAGGAATTCCAAGGGGGCGTTACCTGTCCTCCGCATGCGGTACATGTAAATATGGTGCCATGCACAGGTGTAATTCGTGTTTTGATAATCAATTTATTACGGATATTTTAGAATCTGAATTCTATACCTCAACGGCGAAGTATTCAAGTTAGCATGCAAGTTTGGTACCATGATACTTGGCGCAATTCACGTGGATACGGATGATAGAATTGCACGAATCTTCGAGTCGCGAGTCAAAGCAGAATGGCATTCTGTGTAGTTACTGAAGCGACGGGTATGAAGAAAAGCTATATTGTCGCCGCCCCTGTCCGTCCGTCTGGATGTCCACAATTTGTTTGTGGACTCTCTACAGGTCACAATTCTTATCCGATTTTAACGAAACTTGAAATATAGGTTTATCTCCAAAAGATCTCGGCTGCTTTCGATATTGGCATGTATCGGATCGAAACTTCGTGGATTATGGCCCCTGTTTGTACGAAAAATGACGTTTTAGCTTGTGGACCCTATAGAGGTCACAATTTTGATCCGATTTTGTTGAAACTTGAAATGTAAGTTTATAACCTAAAGATCTTGGTTACTTTCGATATTCGCGCATATCGGACCGTAACTTCCTGAATTATGGCCCCTGATTGTACGAAAAATCGCATTTTTAGCTTGTGAACCCTATAGAGGTCATAATTTTTATCTGATTTAAAAAAACGTATTATTATGTCACCGTAACACCCTAAGGACGGCTGAGTTCGAATTTCATGAAAAGCGGCCCAAAACTGACAGACAAAATGGCCGCCCTTCATTCTCAAATAGCGTAAAAATATGGTATATCAAGGTTGTGGACCCTATAGAGGTCAGAACTTTTATCCGATTTTGTTGAAACAAACTTGAAATATAAGTTTATAACCCAAAGATCTCGGTTCCTGTCAATATTTGTGCATATCGGACGGTTACTTCCTGAATTATGGCCCCTGATTGTACGAAAAATGGCGTTTTTAGCTTGTGGACTCTATAGAGGTCATAATTTTTATCCAATTGAAAAAAAACGTATTATTATATCACCGTTACACCCTAAGGACGGCTGAGTTCGAATTTCGTGAAAATCAGGCCAAAACTGCCAGACAAAAATGGCCACCCGTCGTTGGATGAAACTTTAAATATATGTTTTTATCATGAAGATCTTTTTCCGATTTTAAAAAACGGTTAGATATATCACCATTCCACCATAATGAAGGTTAAATTGGAATTTTGGGAAAATCGAAATGAAACTGCCCGACGAAATGGCCGCTCTTTGTACGCAAATTGTGTATAAGTATGTAATGCAAAGGTTATGGATCCCCTAGAGGTCACAATTTTTATCCGGTTTTGATGAAACTTAAAAGTTAAAAAATATCTTTATATTCCAAAAATCTCAGTCGCTTTTGATATTTGCGCATTTTAGACCATGGATTATGGCCCCTGATCTTACAAAAAATCCTTTTTGTTTTTAGCTTGTTCTGTATGGCTGCTCTTTTTATCCAAATTGTGTAGAAGTGTTTAATAATACGAAGGCTGTGGATCCTCTAGAAGTCACAATTTTTATCCGATTTTGATGAAACTTAAAACATATCTTTATATCCCAAAGATCTCAGTCCCTTTTGATATTTGCATATTTCACGCCATAACTTTCTGGATAATTTCCCCTGATTGTAAAAAAAATCACGTTTTTTTTTTTTTAGCTTGTTCTCTATCCATCTTTTGCAATATGTGTTCGTATCCTGCCTGGCAGCTGCTGGTTCTTTTTATCTTTACATATTGACATGAAATGTTAGTTTATCCATTTGCTATCAATATTTAATTTTATTGCAGATTTTTGACATGGCTTTGTCTCCACTAAGAATCCAACTTGTTGAAGAGGATCCAAATTCAGAAAGACTTCTAAAAATCAGTCGATTTTTCAGGTACGTTTATATTTTTTAGTAAAGAATGTACCCATTTATAACTTACTTTTGGAAATTTAATTTTTTAATTCCAAGAACAGTGACAACTAAAACTCCACTGGAGTACTGAAGGTTTTCACAACACCGAAACTTCACGGTGTGCAGCTCAAGCATTCTTGACGACAATTTGTAATCGAGTGAAAATGTTCCATATTGATGGTTTTAAACTGTCCCCGGTTATCGAAAAATGTAACTCTATAAGACTTTGATTGAAAATTACCAGAATTATAGCTGATTTTCAATTTTCGTGCACGTTAAAGATTTACATCACTTCCGGCCTGCTCACACCTTTCGCAGTACTTATAACTGTTGACAAGTTTCATTAGGGAAGATCAGTATTCAGAACACTATCGCTTCTTACAATTTCTGGGATCTATGCGAAATGGAAAAAGAAGAACAGTTTTGCAGAAGGGACGAAAAGCAGTATAAATTTACGATTGTCTATAGCATTCTGAACAACATCTGTTTATTCATTGTTAACTAGGTAAAGCGTTTTGTTTATAAATAGCTGCAGCGGAGCACTTTTTATACGCCAACATTGAAATGTGGTTGTATATTGTCGTCGCCCCCGTCCGTCGGTCGGTCCGGCTCTAGAGGCCAAAGTTTATATCAGATTGACTTTAAATTTATACATAGTGTTTAAGGTCATGAGACGAAAAAGTCTATTGATTTTCAGCAATTTTTGATAATTACTGCCAGAGGCTATAGTTATCATTCGATTGACTTCAGATTGATACGCAGAGTTTAAGGTCTTGAGACGAACAAGTATATTGAATTTCAATGAATTTTTGTGACTTTAAATTTATACATAGTGTTTAAGGTCATGAGACGAAGAAGTCTATTGATTTTCAGCAATTTTTGATAATTACTGCCAGAGGCTATAGTTATCATTCGATTGACTTCAGATTGATACGCAGAGTTTAAGGTCTTGAGACGAACAAGTATATTGAATTTCAATGAATTTTTGTGACTTGAACAGCTAAATCCATGATGCTAAAAGTTTTGTATACTAAACGTTAGCATGGGGCTGCGTTAGCTGCTGTCGGCGAATGTTTCGTTGCCTGGCAACTTATCTTTATTCACTGGTATTAAGTGATGACGTTGTTTAGACAAAAAAACTGAGACTTTAATCACTTACTAAAATGACATATTTTCACTCTAGAAGAACCAATCCCATATTTTGGTTAACAGTAAAACACTTGTAGTTCAAATATTGGCGCTGTGAAAGAAAAAGCTCGCTATATAAATATGCTGTATATGTTAGCAATGCGTACCTATTTTATCCACTCTTACGGCACGTTTCGCTTAACATACTAGTACTAATACTACCGGGATTTTGCCTGTTTCCATCAGGTAACATTTTAGTCGAATTTAAGCCCAGGGCCCGGTTGCTAGAAAATTCTTAAAGTAAGCACAAAGTCATGCTTCACTTTTTCTTACGTAAGAAACTTATAAAAATACCGTCCCTAGAAAATTCTCAAGACCATTCTTACGTAAGCACAAGTCAAGTATAAGTCTAAGCACATTGTGACTGGTAAAGTTTACCATAAACTGAAACTACGATGCTCTTTAACGTCACAAAAACAACTTTGGTATGCGAATTACGTCATAAATTTGTCGTCTGCTTCATTGACGTCATATATATATATGGTTGATTTAGATGCATTTGACATGTCCCCTATTCACATGTAAAATGTGCCACAAGATAAAAAACGCAGACACATACAAACTAACTGAATAATTGTGAGAGCGCCTGATCTTAAGTAGCTCGTGTGTTTGTAGCCTATTGTTTACTAATTGGCAAATAAATAAAATGGTTTCAGGGTAGGCCTAGAAGCGAAATTTTCTATAGCATTCTTAATTTGAAATTTCTTCTGGAGAAGGATTTTCTCTCTCTTGTAATTGTCTCTTTGGTATCAAAAGGTGTCGGAAATGCCGTCGAATAACTCTACCGTCAGCCATCTTTTTGAAGCATAAACAGACTTAAGGTTGGTAAGCAAGCTGTATACCTTGCTTGGGACTTGTGCTTAGATTGACTATGTTTAAGAACGAAGTTGTGCTTAAGTTTTTTCTTGGAACGCATAATAACGTTCTTGTGCTTAGAATGAAGTCTACTTAAAATCTAAGCACAAGAACGTTCTTAAGAATTTTCTGGGAACACAAAATAAGGTAAGTTTACTTAAATGCAAAGTCTACTTAAATCTAAGCACAAGAATGTGCTTAAGAATTTTCTAGGAATCGGGCCCTGGGCTTAAAAACGAAAAACTAGCAAAAACAATCAAAACAAGTAGAATATTCAAAGTTTAATGATCTAAAAAAAAATGAAAATTGTCAAGTTTGGTTTTAACAATTAACTTGGCGTCATTAAGTTCTCAAAAATGTTATCTTATCCACGCAAACGGAATGCATGTGCACCACATCAAACATATCAACAGAACACAACATTATATGTCGGCGGTCTACAAGTCAGATGTAATTGAGAGCTTAATCTTCTTCATCGTCCAAAGTGAGCGACTCAAATGGATCAAGTTCAATGTTCTCCTCAGAGTCAATCAAGCCTTCAGCTGACCGTAGGAGGTCTCTCAGTCGGGAGTTGAGCTGTTCTGTTGCCACTTGTTTACCCAACTCGGCTACACCACAGAGCTGAAATGAAGTGGAGATGGTAGACGAGGAAACGGACGCCACTGAATCCAACACCATCTGTAGAAGTACATCATATGAGGGTCGTCTCCTGTTGCCCGCTGGAGTGAACTCCTTCTCTCCGTTTATCAGCCAGTCCTGCCACGCTCGTCTCATGGCCGCCTTGAATGGAGCGTTTAAACCACCGGACACGTCAAGAGGTTGAAGGTAACATGTCGTCTTTGGAGGAATCAGCTTTGTGACGACATTCAAGGACTTTAGTGCCTTCACCACAGGATCTGTGTAGTGACTCTTGTGGCTGTCCAACAGAAGTGATGCTTCGTTTGCGAAGTAGGAACCATGGCCTTCAAAATTCGCCCATCCAAACAAATGTAAAGTGCAACAGTAAAGCGATTTTTATCATGTCGAGTGGTTAAACCATCAACATTTTTACAACCAACAATGTCTAAAGTTTTTTCTCCAGCCATGTCAATGTAACATGGTGTTTTGTCCATATTAAAGATCCTTGATTTCTCTAGTCCTGTTGTCAACTGCTGCACACCGCGAAGATGGTCGTAGCTGATCATTCTTTGAATAGTCAGGTCCCGTTTGTCTTGTTGGCCATGATGCGTGATTTTCCGGGAAGAAATACTGTGACGTTTGCGAAGCAATTAATCGCTGATCTTAAGCGTGTCCTCACCAATTCCCATCTCCGCCTTTAGTGCTAAGGCGCGATCTCTCATATTGATGTAGTTTACAACATGTTTTTGAGCTCTCTGTTCTTTGAACCGATGAAAAAGTGCTTCTTCGAGCTCTGGTTCCTGTGGTTTACGGCCTGGATTCCCCATACAGCGCTTGTATCTCCTGCCCTCATTGTTTGACATTATCTGTTCTTCGGAAAGCCATCTTCTAAGGTTCTTTCTGTTAATACCCAATGCTTAAATTGCCCTCAAATTCACTTTTTAAACTCCGGATAGCGTCTAACTTCTGATCAATTGTGAATGATTTTCTAGAAGACATATCTAAAAGTCAACATGTATTTCCTCTAAAAGTTTTGGTATTTTATTTATGTCTTTTTCACTCCCAATGAAAATTAAGAGAGCTGGAATTTCTAGTCCTCCTTTGGGTAAATATGAATGTGTTGGTTGATTTGACACAATTTCCACTTGAATAGTACCTCCACGTTGTAGAAAGAAGTTACACAACTTACTCTGTTGCACAGGAACGTGACCTACAATGACGTTGTTGTCTAAGACTGACACAGCGTGTTTGTCATAAGCGTTAAGATGATCACACTGGGCGTCCAAAATGTCTCCTAAAGTAGGTGTCCAATGTGTTTTGTAAATATGAAATCCCCTAACAGCACTTAGCATATAATACTGACTGAGATTTTCCATGGATAGCACGTTTCAGCAAACATCCGTTAAGGCATGGATAGCACGTTTCAGCAAACATCCGTTAAGGGAGACCACTCTAATTCAATAATCTAATTTACGCCCATGGGCTTTAAAACGGTTTTTTTTGCCCGTTATTAAGCCCATGGGCTAAATAACGGGTGGGCTTAAATACGTGCAGTCCCGGTAATACAGTTTTCAATTCTCGATCCCCCTGATATTTCTGTCTGCTGTTCAAGATTTCATACACAAGAAAACCGATTAGATTCTACACAAGAAGTTTTCGTTCACATTAAAGATTTACATCATTTCCGATCTGCTCACAACTTTCGCAATACATACAAGTGTTGACAGTTAACAACTTACATCGGTAAACATCAGTATTCAGAACTCTATCACTTCTTACAGTTTCTGAGATGTACACCAAATGGAAGAAAGAAAAAAAAATAACTGTTTCGCGAATGGGATGAAAGGCATTTCATATTTACCCAAAGCCTACAGTAATCTTATCAACATCTGTTTTTAAGAAGGGCATTTTACTATTAAACAGCTTCTTCAGAGAGCTTTTTATTCACTGGTATTAAAGTGATGACGTCATACAGACAATAAGACTGGCACGTTAATTTCAGGGCAAACTCTTTCTAAAATGACGTATTTTCACTGTAGAAGAACCAATTCCATACTTTGGTAAAAAGAAAAACACTCTTAGTTCAAATATCGTCAAGGTGTAAGAAAAAGCACTCTTAAGATAAATATATTTTCCTGCGGTTGAGGGAACCGAATTAGGAGGAAAATAATTTCTCTCCATATGCGTAGTAATATAAGGGGTATGAAGTACTATTTGCAAGTAAATAGTCTTACGAAGTCATTCAGGTCGAAGTCGCCAGATGCAACAGACGTTTTTACAACTTAACACTGATTTGTTTTCACTACGTGTACGTCCGACAG